TGGGTGGACATGATCCTAGGAACAGGCCTGGGGAAGTTTTGTTGTGACACTGCTAATGCCAGAATGAGGAATGTGGTGGGGAAATGGGGGGGTGCAGTGCTCGTGGAATTTGTTCCTTTCAAAGGGAGGAATGGGTCACCATGAGATGCTCTTGTGATCTGAGGCATCCACACGGGTTTCTGTTTTGGTAGCACCTTTATTAAGATTCCCAGGTGCCTCTGGCAGGGCAGAGGGCCAAGAGACCTGTTAATGGATCTGGGGAGAGTTTGTTGGGTTTTTAGTATAGGCCACGAGTTTCTTGCTAGAGAGGAGCCCACTATCCAAGAGCCTGTGACAGGGGAGCCCTGGGCATGGGAGGAGCACAGAGGAATCACCCGAGTGACCCAGGAAGGCTTCCTGGAGGCCGTGGTATCTGGATGGAGTCTGCTGGGGACCAGGCAAGAGGGGAAAGAGAATTCCAGGCAGAGGAAACAGCCCACACGAAAGCCTGGAGGCTGGAAAGAAGATTCTTACCTTATAGGGAACTGTGAGGAGGAGATCCCTGGGGTTTGACCGAGCAGGCTGCCCCCACCCCCTGCTTCTCTGAGCCCATTTTCATACTCTTGCCCTTTCCCTCACTCTACTACAGCAACGCTGACCCTCTTTTCTAGTCCTTGACCTTGTCAGCTCATTGCAGCCCCAGGCCTTTTGCACTTGCTCTCCCCTCTGCCTGGAATGGCTGTATCTACCTCTTGAGCCTCGAGGCCAGCTCCTCTCACGCTTCAGGTCTCTGCTCAATGTCACTTCCTCCTAGAGGCCCTCCTGCATCTTCTACATAAAGGAGGCACCCCACCACCTCCCAGGCTCTCTGTAGCCCCTCGTCCTACTTTTTGTTTTTTCCTGCCGTAGTCTTTCTCACTCCTGACATTACAGATTTATTTGTGTTTATGTTTATACCCCACCCCCTAGAACGTAAGTTCCAATAGCAAAAGGCTTAAGTAAGTGTCCCTTGTCCACAGCAATCTCAGTAGCTGACGGAATAGGTTCCTAATACAGAGCTGTTGGCCCATGAACACAGTATTGATTAAGCACCTACTGTGTGGGGGGCACTTGAGCAGAGAGCGGTAAGACAGGTGAGGAAGGCTGAGGAGGGTGTGGTCCTGAACTTGATGGAGGAGCCATCGAGGGTGTCTGGGTTGGGGAGCGAACCAGCACGCAGGGAGGTTGGAGGTGGAGATGCTGGCTGGCCTCACCTTGTCTCTGTTGCCCCTGCAGGGTCATCGACCTCTCTCCCAGCCTACCGTGGAGGCAGGTCCCACAGGTGGGTGTTTGGGCCCCAGGTCTGGGGGTCCCATGAAGAGGGGCCTGAATCTGGGGGGCCAGGATCTCACTCTGTCTCCTCTCCTTTCCTGTCTCCTCTCCTTTCCTCCCCTTACTCCCCAAGGCCACACTGATCTGAGCAGGAGAGCCTCCCTCCCAGCTGGACCAGTGGACACCTCCCCAGAGTCTCCCTCTGAGCCCAGAGATGAGGCTGTCAGGGTTCCACCCACCCTGAGGCTGTTCCCTGGGGTAGCAGGGGCCTCCTCAGAAGCCAACGGCCCCTGCCCTGGACCCAGCCCCGCTGCAGAACAGGGGCCGAGTCAGGGGCTGGCAGCATCTGAGGGGGGCGTGGGTGAGACCAAAGGAGGGGGCGTGGTGGAGGTGGTATGGGAGGGGCTGAGGGCCACAGAGGACTGTGCCACGGAGGCCACGGGCCCAGAGCTGGAGGCTAAGGTGGAGGAAATGGTGCTGGAGGCCATTGGGGACAGGCAGGAAGCTGCCTGCCCAGAGCCCCCGTCCTGGGTGAAGGAGGACAGGGGCATCGTGGAGGTGGTCTGGGAGGGG